CGAGTGGTTTCTGCATATTTCTATCAGTGATTTATCGGACTTTCATAAAAGCTGGTCACTCACAATGTAGCCGATTAAAAAATGACTATTATAAGTAATAGTATTTTGCAATGCCAATAGTTCCATAGATAAAAAGTGTTAATTTGAGCTAAGAAAGTAAGTTAAAAACTGCAGTTATAGTGATATTAGTCTGGGCATAAAGCTATGTGAATCTGGAGGGACACGCAGTACATTTGCACAGACATTATTTTATAAATGCGAAAGGTGTAGACATTGTGCAAAGATACTAAAAATAAACTTAGATGGCTAAGATAATGCTACGCCATACAAAAAGCAGCTTCTTCCATTGGTTCTCATTTTGTGTCATACTTTACTCAAATATATCAGCTTTTAATTTAATCCTGATATTTCACTATTTATTGAATTTATTGTTGCAGCAAAAAATCAACTGGAGTTCTGTTGCCATATGCTTCGAGGGACAATAGACCCTAAAGAGCCACCTACATATGAATATGTAAAATGCATAGGAAACTTCAAATCCTTGAGTAACAGTAAGTTAATTAAAGCACGTAGTATGTTTTGATCAGCAATATTTTTCACAATTTTGACAACCTGTGAAATGGTAAAACAAATAAGAAAAATTATTTGCTTTTTTACAACCAATAGGCGTAATACCAAATTGATAATGATCGTGTTACAATGACATGAGCATGAAAACACCAGGCAATGAAAGGTTGATATTAACAATTCAATTTCAATTTCCTGAATTGCTGGTTATTTTAGAGACACTGCATTATACTCATCATCGTTATTATTGAGCTGTAAATGAGAATGTATAACGAGCCTGAAGATAGCTGAATTTTAAGTTAAAGAGCTCTTTTTTCTGAGTTCAAGGTTGCAACCTCATATCCCTTTACATGGAAGTAGAATTATACACGTAGTCCTCGATTTACGACCACAGTTGAACCCAAAATTTCTGTGGTTAAGTGAGACATTTGTTTAAATTAGTTTTGCTTCATTTTATGACCTTTCCTGCCACAGTTGTTAAGTGAATCACTGCAGTCGATAAGTTACTAACACGGTTGTTAAGCGAATCTGGCTTCCCCGCCAACTTTGCATGTCAGAAGGCTGCATGACCTCGGGATATCGCAACCGTCGTAAGTATGAACCACTTGCCACGCATCTGAATTTTGATCAGATGATGATGGGGATGCTGCAACGGTCGTAAGTGTGAAAATCAGTCATGGTCGCTTTTTTCGGTGCCACTGTAATTTTGAAGCATCGCTAAATGAACGGTTGTAAGTTGAGGACTATCTGTACCGTGGTTTCTTGCTTGAGGCAGGAAGTCTCGCAAATATCTGCCTCTGCAAGCACAAATAAGAAAGAAATTCAAAATGAAAAATCTGCCACTCTTTTCAGGTTCTCCAGATTACCTACCTGAAATGACAGCTTACTTAGCCTGTAGGTCTGGTCAGACTGTAGGCCAGCGGTTCTCAACCTATGGGTCGCGACCCCATTTGGGGTCGATCAACCATTTCACGGGGGTTGCCAAGCAAGGCTGTCCGCCATTTTTTTCCCCTTTTCCGGCGGGTGCCTTACCTCCCTTGAGCTGGGCCAGCTGGTGGTCAGCCTGCTCCGTCTCTGCCACTTGCCAGCTACGCCTCGGCCGGCGCAGGGGGCGGAACCACGCATGCGCGGCGCTCCCGGGCAGGGAAAGTCCTCGACTTACGACCGGTTGGGTAGTCCTCGACTTACGACCAGTTTAGTCCTCGACTTACGACCGGTTTAGTCCTCGACTTACGACCGGTTGGGGGGTCGCGGCATTAAAAAGATTGAGAACCACTGCTGTAGGCTAAAAAGCCAGTTACTCTTCGTAATGAGTTCTTCCTGCTTACATTCCTGTAACTGCTTGATGTGCTTGCTTTTCCAAATAGCTCAGAATTAGTGTGGTGGTTCAGTTCCATACAATGGAAATTGTTTATATTATCTTAGTTTATATGTACCTACAGTAGTGGCCAGAATTGTGGAAACCTTTTGGGAAAAGTGTATTTTTGAGGTTTGATGGCTAATAACACCACTTTTTTGGGGAGCAGTACCATAAAATTATATATCAGTGGAAAGATAATTTAACCAAGAATGTCATGCAACAAAGTTTGTTCAATTATCTGTACTGTATTTTATGAAAGGTTATAGCCAAATAAACAGAAAAAGGAAGCACAACTTGCTTAGGTTGAGATCAGGGAGCTTTCCTTCATCTGATTGTAGCCAATGAGCATGAGTGTTTAGAGAGCCAGTCAGGTGTCATCTTGTTTTGGCAATGAGCCAATCAGATCAGAGTAGGATTCAGTTATTGATGTCACGTATTGAAGCTGAGAGGAGGACATTTGTCTGTGTTATGTGATCGCTGTCAAGTTGGTTGGGTTTTTTTGTGTTCTTTTATTTAGTGAGCTTGTAAAATGTAATAAAATTAAAGTCATGGTGCAAAGAGTTGACTGGTTGCCCAGAAAGCGATGTAAAATAGTATTATTTATTTATTTATTTATTATTTATTTATTTATTTGTTAAATTTATATGCCGCCCTTCTCCCCACGGGACTCAGGGCGGCTCACAGCATATTAAAACAACATAACACATTTCCCCAATAAAAGCCAATTAAAAACCAAATATTTGTAGCTGTGTCTCTTATTAAAAATCATTAAAAAATTATCCCTATTTAAAATTCACCCTAGGTCAGTCCCGCTTGCTGAAAAAGCCATGTCTTGAGGGCGCGGCGGAAGGTTAGGAGATCCGGAATCGTCCGGATCTCGAGGGGTAGCTCGTTCCAGAGGGTGGGGGCACCCACAGAGAAGGCCCTCCCCCTGGGGGTCGCCAGCCGACATTGCTTGGCCGACGGCACCCTGAGGAGGCCCGCTCTGTGGGAGCGTACCGGTCTGTGGGAGGGA